AAAAGATTTAAACAATAATGTTAGATTAACGCCAATATTTGATATTAGATAAAAATATTTTTTCCAATTTTCTCATCATTTTCCGAACTTTTTTTTCATTTTTTTTTCTGTTAATTAAAATGATCATTAGGCATAGACCAGACAACACACGTCTTAGTGGAATGCATATTTACTATAAATAGTATTATTACCATCTTTAAGTGACCCATCATAAACACGACGATAGTGAAAACCGCTTACCATATGACATAGCAAATGACCCCGCTATCCCATCAGCCCATGGCCTGGCTGAGTGAATTATTCAATAGAACATTTCGCAGTTATTCGTGAATGCCATTATTTATACAATGGTTATTTAAATAAGCTTTGAGGAACTTAAATTTGCATACGAGCTTTTAATAAACAAATAAGTTTCTACGTTAAAAGATATTTGTTATTTTTTTTCAATAGTAACATTCCCACCGTCACATTGATATTTAATTATTTTTATGAACGTTACTTATCTGTAAACGAACGGATGGATATGTAATGTTTTGGATATTGAATGAAAACATTTAACTTTCATTTATGCTTGACTGCCGCCGATAATTCATTGCGCGGACCACATTTTTTTACAAATGTCGTAATTATCTGATATTTAGTTTCGTTGCTACAGTATGTTAAAATTGATATATATTCGATAATGAAAAACAATTATTTTCATCAAACTTGCTATTCTAATTTCCTACCATATTAACTTATTTATAGCTCTACTAAACGTGTAACGGCTCGAAGACTTATCTAATGGAAATAAAAACGATCCGCCCGCAAAAGCCTATATGCGGCGATGATGCAGGAAAAGCAAGGAGAAAGCTGTTCGAATCATATAATCAACCAGAGACATTAACTGTGGTCAGATCGGGTCAAGATACTTGGAAATAAATATTGAGACACTTAAATAGATTCTTCGTAATTTTCAACCGGAAGTAACGTTCAAAATTTTAAGGTAAAACCTTTTCTTTTTGAAAGGTTCGCTGCTAGTATCGACACTTTAATTACAAAGTTTTCTCATTTCCATTACAGATAATTTATTTAATTTGAGTATTTGGTAAACGCTTGTTACATCGGCAAGTACATGCTAACGATTGTAAGTACTTGGTGATTTTCAAACATGTTGAAATAAATATTTTACAAGGCATAAAGATGTATTAAAGAAATTAAATACGATGCTAGTTAGCGACGCAGCTACATTGGCATTTGTAGTGATTTAAACAATTTCATAATAACAAGAAAAGGGACAACGTTATATAACGTTTTATTTACTGTTAATGAAAATTGCATTCCATACATCGATTATATTGTAAGTTGTAACCAGTATTTAGCAGCGCGGCGACGTGCTATTGCAAACAGTTCCGATCATTAGCCATCGATGCTGCTTAACAAATTGCTGCGTGTCGCAAATATTTACCTCAAACAACTTACTCTATATTTTATGAACTTTGGCTTGAATATATAATTATACATATTATTTTTTATTCAATTTAAGTCTTTCCGTGGCTTCCCGAAGTGCCATTTGGGCACAATTTGCTTCGCCAATGTCGCGTAGAATGGAGAAGCCAAGAATATTTTAACAAGTTTCATCAATAAGTTTATTTCTTCTTATCCACGTGTAGCCATTAAATATTGTTTTCAATAAAGATAGCAAAACATTACACTTGTAATTACTGACTCCAGTCAACATATTAATTCAAATATATATAAATAAACTTAGTTGCTCAACAAACAACAACGCTTAAATAAAAAAAATCAATATTTACTGCATATTTATAAGCGAAACAGCAATGAATTTATTTTATTATATTTGCAGTTGTTTTTTTTATGATGGGACGGCACTTAGGGAAAAAATATTATATATATATATATATATATCTATATATATATATATATATATATATATATATATATATATATATACTAAATATCGAAAAAAATATTTTTGAACATGACAAGATATTTCAGAAACGCATTCCTAGCACCTGCGCCGCGCTTGTCATAAAAATAAAGCAGGGTGGAGTTTATCAAAACGGTCTGCAATTTATCCGACTACATTTACAATGCATAAACAGTATTTATTACTTTATGAGACAATCTTATTAAGAATAAAAAAAAATAAAGTTAATATAAACAAATATCTACATCTACATATTATGGAGATTATAAAAGGACATTTGTAGCTAACATTTGCAAAAAAATGTATGCCTTTAATAGTGAATTGAAACGCAAACATGAATTTGGTGGTTGATATCTTTCAACCCCTAATACCAGAAGGGTGCGGCGCTCGTCAAAGAAAGTGGTGTAATAAATGTAAAGAGCTCTTACAAACGAACCTAGTGCTTGTAAAGCTCTCACCAGTATTGTCAGGGATCTAACACTCGCTCTATTGTTTCATATAAAACTTTAAAGGAATTATATCTCAAAATTATATTGTATACTATAATGTAATTATAGTAATTACGAGTATAATGTAATTGTAGCTAATGCGAGACATCTATAATCGGTCTTATTATGTTTATAGATATTTTAACTTATCCTGTCGCGATTCGGCGACAGCAGTGATGTGCATTTCAACGTATAAATATTGTTAAAATATAAATGATAGTTAAGCAATATTTAATGTTGCAAAAACTTTTTTAATGATTACGGTATATTCGGATATTTGGGAAGAACCTACCGCAGAGTATATTTGTCTAAATTTAAACTAAAATATACTTTAGCTTATGGCTCTCGACTATGGAAGTCTTAGAACACTTTCTGAATGACAAAAAGCCACCATGCCCTGCGCGCACCATTAGTACAGTGTAATAACTAAAGTGCCCACAGAAAAGCAATAAGAATCACAAAAGCGTAAAATGATTTCAAAACCAATACTTCCTAAATATTTGAAGAAGCTTATATTAAAGATTGAAATAGAAATTATAATCTGAAATTTCATTTCATGGTTTACGCGCATTTATGTAATCGTTGAAATCAACCAATTCTACAAAAATTATTTTTACATTCCTTGTAAAGAGAAAGTGAGTAAATTATTTTCATTTACTCTCTTTCAATACATTTCTGTATTTGTATTATATGTATTTGTATTATGTATGTGAACTACGAGTATACCTACCATGTACATATATGTATTTAAAAAGAATCGGTTGAGTGAATTGGTAAATAGTTTGGTTTATTTGATGATGTACATTTAATTTTCACTAAAAAATATGAAGCTTTTAAGACGTTAAGTACAATACTAACTCAAAAATTTAGTAAAAGGGTTATAATTAAGAACTGAGATAATAAATAAAATCCGTTTTCAAATTGAATCTAAATTACTAAATTAACAATGCAAGAGTGTTAACAAATGCTTCGTTAAAAGACACTTAAAAGCTAAAGCTGCGATAAAACTGCAAATGTCGCTATGTTTATTAGTAATCCTGTGAGAGGCCTCATTTCATATAGATAATTACATTTTAAATAAATATTAATGTAAATTAACTCACAATTCAATTATCAGGGCTTTGTTTTATTAACACCTAGTACAAGTATAAGCTATAATATACAATAAATCCTAGACGGGTCATGCTTTACATTTTATTTTTAAGATTTGTAAATATTCATAATATCTATTGTTCTACTACTGCAATGCTGAAGTCAACTCTAACAAAATGAGGTTGGAAAGTTTCAATATTTTTTTCTCACTAATAATAAAGGTGATTGATTTATAAATAAATTATGTTATATAAGTTGAGAGAATTATGTAGAGTTAGACAACGTACTCAGAGTGGTGACAGGACAGGCGGAGGATGTTTGCGCAAATATACTGATTGTTCAGAGTTACACGAAGTGCACACAGCTAAATATTGGCATACGTGTATGAAGACAACGATGGCGATTAAACGCTAACCATTCTAAAATTACTCGTAATTTCCGTACATTTGCTTATTCTTAATTCTTAATGGAGTTTATAAAACAAACTTTAATAGACGACATGTCCTTAATTTGTTGTATGATTTGAGTAATATTTAGACCCGAATTGCAGAAAATGTAAAGGCTCTTGTGCATTTAAACTCAAACGTTAAAATTTGTAAATGAGATTCTCTTAATACGTAGTTTATATGATCAAACTCAATCGACCGATCGACAATTGACGAAAATATCGTAAGCCAAGTCGAAGAAAACAATTAGTATTATTATTAAATAATAATTAAATTTGCAATATAATAATACTAACTAAATCATCAGTCACGACTGCGACATAAAGAGTCAGCTAAATGCAAACTGCACGTTACAATTAATAAATCCGGCCATTATCACGATCTTTATCGTTTGAACGCAAGGTCAATACTTTCCTTCGCAACGCGGCCGTGACTTTACCAAGTGACATTCCACGACTTCTTGAATAGACACAGTTACAGATCTAACGTGTTCATACGATATTTTTTCTAACAATAATCTATTTGCCAATCCAATTAATTGCAGTTGGATCGAGTCATGCTATAGTAAATATTATAACGAGTCAACAACTCAAAATACTTTAATAAAAAGCAGTCATGAGGACTACCGACAGAAGTGAAAAATTAAAACTATAAACAAACAGTTGTTATTTATGGATAAATTAAAACTGTTTACATTTATCTGGTTTTGACATCTATCGGCACTCTGAGTGTTAGCGTTAACACGTCACGTGACCATGACGATGACTGAATGATGATGAAGTAACTCCCCATCCAAACCTGCATATAGAAGTTTACACTTCGAAAAAGACTAAAAATATAAAGTAAGTATTTTTAACGACACTAATTTTTTTTGTTTAAACAAATGTCTAATATAAATGTTTATAAACGTTAAAAGTCATAAAAGTAGAGCGTAATAACAGGTATTACGAGTATACAAAGCACGTATTTTTTCTGTAAGTTTATTACAAAATGTCTTCATTATGATTTATTACGATTATATCATTTTATAATTAAGACCCAAATATGAACCGAATACAAAGGCTGAAAGCAAAAGTGTTAGTTAATTCACACAATGCCCAAGTTCCAGACCGCTACGTGCGGCGCGCCTCCGACCAGAACACGCTGACCGCTTTGCGAGGATACGGTATTTTGGTAAAACTTTAGCTCCAAATTGTAATTATGTTAAATTTTAATTGTTATTTATTATAGAAAATTATATTTTTTATTACGAATGGCTTTTCTTTCGATGTTGGCTAAACAGATTATCCGTGACCGTGTCCCATCGGATGAAATCATCAAATTTATCTTAACTCAGTTATACTGCAATGAGAACTTAGACAACGATTAATTACACGGTCATCGGTCAGTGTGGGACAATAGGTTTATTCATTTTTGATTGCCGGTGCTACATGTGTGATTGGGAAATCTGATTTTGAGAGTTGCATTATTTGAATCGATTCATTATTGCTTAATACTTTGTAGATCGTTTGAATGTATAATGATTTGTATAAAATATTATTAGAATTCTTATGTAGTTTCTTTTTTACATTACTAATGCTGTTTTCATTTATACTTAATAGGCAATTTATGTTCACATAAAATTTAATAGAATAAGTTATATTTGTATTTCAATAGAATAAGTTATATTTGTATTTTAGTATATTTCATTTAATATTACCAAGCAGTTCAAAGGTGATAAAAAAATATGCTCTTTCATATTGCAAATAGCCAAAGAAAAAAGTTACTTCCACATTTTCTATATAAGGAATTGATGCGTTGCGCATGCGCCGCCGCTACAAGCGGTTTCAGCGTCGCCCGCTTTCACATACCAAAGATGGCTCTTACGATCAATTTGTTTACATTGCACTGTTTAAAAGGCCTGATATTGTTGTACATGTAAAATGTAACATGTAAAATTATATATTAATTACATTAAAAAACAATAAAAACGAATAATTAAGTTTTGAGGATTTTTTTGATAATAAAAATTTTGACAATAAGTTTTCGTATTTTTTATGTGAGAAAATATTAATTCAAGACATAGTATGTTTATTTTGTTTGCAGATATAATAATGTGAATTATATATTTTTAATCCATTATTTATATTGAATTAATATTGTGTTAAATGTTAATAGACAGAAATGAGGATCGCTATCAGTTACATCAAAATATTTTCATTATCTTGTTGATCGTCCTACACTTTATTTTATGTATTTTTGATGTAATACATTAATTTTTTAATATGATTACATCGAAATATAGATCAGAAGAGAAATCAAATCGTTTTTTGTTATAAATTAAATAGAATTTTAGATTATAGACTCGAAATACCAAATACCTTCAATAGTTTACTCACTATAACTACATACTATGTCAAGAATAAAACGTGCCCAACAGCCTAGTAGGTACATGAATATGGAATAAGTAAATCGTAGACATAACTAACGAATGTTTTCATAAATAAAATAATAAATCTGTCAATCGGTTTATTGTAATTACAAATATATGGGGTTCAGCTTTCAGTTCGTGAGGCGAGCGTCAACAGCGAGCGACCTCGCGTCATTCACGGCGTTACAAGTAAGTGTAACAACGCCAAGTCTATAGTGCTATATATAATTTCTCAGAAAAAACATATATGAGTACATTTAATATATAGAATCAGAGTATGTATGTATATTCCATATATAAGGAGTGCAATAGCAGAAGAGAAATTAATTTTAATTTAAATTTTTATTCGGCTTCAAAAATCAAGAACTTAATTTGGGTAAATATTTTTAATGCGATGTTTGTTTGATTGTTATGTTCGATATTTGTGAGATTGATATTTTACCCCCCGTTCCCATATTTTCAGCAAAGAAAGTCTTCAATCCCTTAGGTTAAGAATTATTACTTATTGTTTGTGAAGTCGATATCCCTTTTTAGCGTTAAAAAGTAATTACTTTGTAATTTAAATAATAAAGACATTAAAGGGCCCATACTTTAACAAAAGCCAAAGCCTGCTTAAAAGTTCTCATTGTTCATAAGTGATTAGTACTAAATTGCGTTTTGGCTGTATACACGTGGAAAATATAAATATTTGTTTGTAACTACGTTATCAATACGAAATCAATTTATAAACATTTTTTAAATAAGTAAATAGTGAAGCGTTATTATACCGACGTGACACAGAGTGATAACATGTTGCCGGCTCGCTGAGAAAATCCGTTTTCTTCCGTTAGTGGAGCCATAACTAGGACGCTTATCTTCCATTGCAAATATTATCTCCGTGTTTGCTTCACTTTGACGTAAACGTTACTTTATCTAAGACACTGTGTACTTAATTATAATAGCTGTATTAGGTTAATAAATATAGCACTAGCGTTGAATGGATCAATTAAATAAAATAAGTAATATCTATTGTACAGGTACTTTGTTTCAGACGTTATGTGAGAATTGCAATATAAAATCAGGTAACATTAGAAAAACTAAATTATTTTAGGATTCTCTATGAATAAGATTATGCGAGTATTCGGTTTATTACACACCAATTTCCGCATCGTAACGTAATATTAGATGGTCTATAGACATTAAACACACTCAATACTATGCACAATATTGTTTTATCTAATTTTAGTTTAAGAGATTAGCGCATTCGAAGAAACAAAAATATACAGGTTTTTAATATTAGATTATCGACTAGACTAGATTAGTGACCTGTCCTCGCTTTGGCTTCCAACAAAATACTTACTCGTATCTATATGCCACGGAATTCGGAAAGCATACCTCATGTTCTCTTTACAATTTATTGTAAAGTTTGAATAGTCTCTCTACAATCACATGCAAATTACATTGATTCCGAAAGAAGAATAAATTAACACAAAACAATCGCTTTTTAAATAAAACTATCTTTTCGGATTTTGTTGCGGATTTATTTGCATTTTTGAGTCCCGACGTTTCGAATGCTTTAGAGCAATCATGGTCACGGGAGAGACTCTCCCGTGACCATGATTGCTGTAAAGCCGAAAAATCCGAAAAGATAGTTTTATTTAAAATGTCAAATATTCGCGTAAATCTAAGAAAGTATTACAAAACAATCGCATTAATAAATAATATTATAATAAAGATACTAAAATAGTTATTTAACAGTGCGTCGGAGGCCGGAGCACGCAACGGCTACGGGACATTGCTCTGGTGAAACTTTGCGATGTGTTTAACCGATACTTTGTACATATTTATCTATTTATTTTTTATTTATTTAGGTGTCATAACTTAGAAACATAATAACTATTAGGCGCTTTAATTTATCTCACAAATGACTTTTTTAACTTTAACCTTTGCTAATATTTGGTTAAAATTGATTTAATTTCAATAAAATATTCGCTCGATCTCGTTCTTGAATTCTTGAGGCCGACCGCAATCCGCAAAATACTCGAAGTGAAATCCTTACATAATGAAATATTTTATCGAACATAATTACACCTTTTTACCTTTTAGCCATACTTGGTGTAGAAATTAAAATAATAACAAAATCGTTAATAATACAAGAAAAGTGTTACTAAAAGTTTTATAATGAACTTAAATGTTGGAGCTTATATGGTTTATTTACTTAAGAAAATGTAAGCTTTAAAAAAACAATGTATTGATAATAATATATTAATACATGGTTTTTAATTACCTCCTAAAAAAACCTAATCATTAAATAAAAAAAATTATCCCACAGATAGTTTTTATTCATTTTTATTTAAAAAATGTTAACGACGATTGAAAATTAGAGCTTCCCGATGGTACTAGTCTATTGTAAAGCATAATACAGACACGGTAATGTGTATAACATTACCGTGGTACAGATGCCCTTTCATCTTACCTTGTACACCATATCTTCGGTAGCTAAATAACTTCACTTAACTAAATGTTCACACGTGAGGGAACGTTCACTCGAAAGCTACTATTAACGTAGTCTATTTGTGGTCATGTTCTCCACACGGTGCTGTAAAGCAGTTGCGCGCTCCGGTAGTGCACTTCGATCATGTAAGTTCTAGGAAAGAAGAGTATAATTTATTTTAGCTTTTGGGTTTAGGTTATTTTTGTCTAAACAACAACAACATGTCCATATTACTATGAGAGGCAGTTAATATTTTCTGATTTTTCATATGATAGGTATTATTAGCCTAGGTACAATTTAAATATTCGATTAAAAACTTTAAGGCAAAGCTTGAATAGAAGTCGATTATTACAACTCTATTTTCCTAGTCAAAATCAATACTTAACTTTAAAAAATCTCTATAACTTGGGTATTACAAATACTTATACATTTATCATGTATATTCTTCTGAAGGTTACCATGACAACGCCGGGTTCGAAGCCTTTTCGGCGTAAATCGCTTCTACGGATAATACTATGTTACTACCATGTTTTATTTATATCTTTAGCCCAAACTAAACATTTTTACAATGTTAAAAGTAAAAATTATTAAATATTTAAAAACATCCTATCACGTACCCCACAGGTATTTTGTAAACGTGATATAATTTTTCGTTTAGAAAACTGCTTTGTTAATCATTTTTCAACACAAAATATCACTTTTAATATAAGAATGTACACGATAAGTTATGAAAAACATGCACTACAGTGTCGGAGGCGGCACACGGCACAGCACAACGTCGCGGCGCGTACTCACTACGGTCTACGAGTAGCGCACGCTGCGGGAAAGTGGACAGTGTTATTCAAGAACTTAATAACGAAGGTCAAGTTCAGTTAGACTGTGAAGTTTTCTTATAATATGTATCAATATTCAGATTTTATAAATCTTAGTTGTTAAGTATGTAATGATGATGTAAGTAAATTGTTAATTTTTAAAGAATCCAGATGTAGCAGGACGGTGTAAACGGCGTTATCAACTACATACATAGAAGGGTATGACTCCATGTCCTTAATGTTAATAATTTCATCCAAATAAAAAATTCTAATTCATTTTCTTTTCATTAATGGCGGAAAGCGGAGGGGCCATAATATACGGCGTTTAGAATTATTTACGTGATTGTTTAGCAATATATCGCACATAATAATTTTAACTCTAAATTCCTTTACTGTCCTGTATTAGATTAGGAAATAACTGTGCTGGCTACGTAGCTATCTATTATACTTTTATGCAACCAAAACCAAAATGTTTAAGAAAAAACAAAAAAAACAATAAAGGTAATATACTGCATAACACCGACCCAGCATCCGCAGCACATGAATCAATTCACGACCAACCCTCCCTTTCTCACCCCTTCTCATTTTCTACACGCCAAAGAGGGAGGGGAGACACTGCATCGCGCAAGTCACCCCTAGAACAGACGGCCAAGCATTGAACCAAGCAATCAGACGAATAAACTACGAGGTACCTACGAATTATTACTTAATTAAATAGTAAAGTAACGTTGAGTCAATGAATGCAATATTAATTTTATAATAAGCGCCTTGAAAAAGTATTATTTTTAATAACATTTAGATAAAATAATTAAAGCTTCATTTAATAAAAAAAAAACAAAAACAAAACTAATATGAAAAAAATATTAATCTTAATAAAACTAATGCTAAATACCAAATAAAAAGGGATTGAACAAGTAGATACTATTATTAGAGGGAACATCAACACAAACGTCCGCGCGCGTTCGCCAACAATCAATAACACTTACACTCGTGTAGAAGTGCCTTAAATGAATTGAAATTAATGGCGCCAAGATATATTATGGGTTTTGTAAATTATAGCATCCTTTGGTGTTATAAATAAAAACATATTTCAAAGTCACTGATGTTCGAGATGTTTCCACTCTGCTATGGCGGTCCTATATATAATTTTTTTCCCATTTCTTATTCATGTTAATAGATAGCTACGAAATTAATTTTTTCCATCATATTTTTTATTTTTTATTTTCACGTAACTTTTCTGTTCAGTAAATTAGAGTTCTCTATAAGCTTTTAGTTTGTTGAGTCAACAATTACCTTTCCAATGTTGCTATAAGACTTATATATAAATATTAAATAACTTAAAAATAGATAATATTATAGGATAAATGAATATAGAGTTCAAAGCACTAACGATGTTAAATAATCACAATAATAAAACGTTACTTAGGTAACAAAGAATAGTATTATTTAATCAAAAAATACATGAATGAGTTGTTTCTACTCGATGAGAGGATTGAGGCGATAAGCAGACAATTTGTTAGGTTTTTGTACAATTATACGTACATGTAAATGTTGCATTGTTTTGTCATCGTGCGGCAGACGATTGCTGGAGCCGGCATGTGATAATATTTCTTATATTATTTATTTATTATTATAGTATGATATACTGTCCCTTATATGGGAATGCGCAAGAAGTTGACACAGCGGCCATCAGTCAGACCTACAACCTGTGCAACTCACAAATGCAATACCATTTTATTATTAAAAAAAAAATTAAAATGTTCATTTTCAAACTAAATTCCTATAATATTATACTTCCACTACGCTTTTTATGCAATTATATTAAGATTGTTGTTTTAGATCACAGACTGCATAAGATATGATTATTTAATGAAATATAAGGACGACCCTCTTTTACATGGATATTTAAAGAAACCATGTATAAGGATCTTATCGTATCTGTTCCTAACAATAACTCCAATAACTAGTAAGAACCTTAGTGCGTTACGTTATCATAACATTTACTTCATAAGAATGCAGTCGATTAAATTCATATCAATTTGCTAGTAAAGTAATAAGAATCTAAATTAAATTTCAAATAACATTGCGAACATATAATTGTACAGGCCACAGTATGTAGGTACGTTGTGAAACGATGCATTTATTTATGAGTAATGTCCATTCTTTCTATCTGCATTATAATCAAAGTTTTTATAAAATTTATAACAGTTGTTAAATAATCATAAAAAAAATATTTATATTTATAAATCATTTATAAGTTATTTTTTACCTATTAATTATTATTTATAAATCATAAAATGATTAACGTATCAGTAAAAACCAGCATACCTAATACATAAAAATAAGGATAACAAAAAAAAAATATATCAACTGGTCGTGGATGTTAATGTATAAACAATAAATATGGTTATGCAAATATTCATAACTTTTAAAAAATTTGGTTTTAGTAATAGATATAGTTAAGACAATATTATGAAACTTAGAACTTTTTATTTGTTTAAGAAACCCCGCCATAAAGCACTAAGCGCCCTTCGAATATTCCCACGGTCGCTCGTCTAAGTTACCGGCCGCCGCACTCAGCCGACAACTAGGCTCTGCGAGTGTGCTCTATAGTAACTTGAGAGCTTATACCATTCACATGACTCACTCATCGTCATCAGACAAACTCTACCTTTTATATACCATCAATTTGTATTGATTTTAGTTACATGCCATGACTTATGGCTTCATTTATAAAATTAGCTTTTTTTTTAAATATAGATAATTAAAATAAAAAAATAATATTGCTATGGTAGCGGTTATCTATGAAGAGCTTTGCTTGCCTTGTATGAAATGTAGAGTATAAAATCTACTTTAACATTAAACTTCTATCATACTCTACCAGAATATTTAGAAAAAAAAGCGCCACAAAGTAATATACAGTTCAAAACAAATTGCATTCTTATAATTCCATAAGTTATATTGACTTAAACATAAAATAATTGACTCAATGTTAAATAAAGATGTGCTAAAAAAAAGTAAAAATGTAAAGTTTATAGTTTTTAAGCTCATAAGTGTAAGTAAGCAAGTACGCGAGAACACAGTAACTTGAGAGCTTTCACGCTACGCTTATTATGAGTCATTCATTAACGAGACGTGTTCCACTGACTATTCAAGTACAATATTGATTAGAGAATTCATACTGAAGATTAAATTTTGGCGATTTTAATTATCATTGAACTAAGTTATGTCTTTATATTACTTTATACTGCGGAATTCTAAAAATATACGTAACATATACTTTCTTAGATATACACGAATGTTTGGCATTTTAATTTTTAATTAAAACTATCTTTTCGGAATTTTTCGGGGATTTATTTTGATTTTTAGTTCCCGACATTTCGAATGCTTTACAGCAATCATGGGCACGGGAGAGACGTCCCAAAAGTTATTATATATGTACTTTTTACAGTATGCACTTAAAATAGGGAGTCAATTTGTTGTTTGATCGTCTCAAAAGTAAAAGAATATGTCGTATAATTATATAGCTAATATTAACAAAACTAAAGCTCTCACATCTAGCGAGACATTCTGCTCCAATGCATTAGAAACAAATCTGTCAACAACAATTCACGTCGCTAGTTGTTGCAGTAATCGAGACAGACGTCACGTGGCTAATAAAACCCAGGAGATGCATCTGCGATTATTAGTTTTGCGTTTCTCTTTAGTACAGTATATAATTATATACATATTAGGAATTGTTATATTGTTATTGGAAAACACTGTTCCTAAAAAATATTACATAAAGTACTTTTGGTAAAATTTTATGAATTGTAAACCGGAAATATAATATGTTATGGATGGATGAAAGAACAAAATGTAATTTTCTTTGGATATTATAGTTATCTGTAAAAAAAACACAAATAAGCGCAAATTAAAAAAAGATGTGAGTTTAAAACGACTCATTAACATTGGACATTTTTCCCAAGATTCATTTTAAATGTAATTTACAAATGTGTCAAAATCAATCAGGATCATAGCACTCGCGTGCATCTCCAGTGATATCACCACGCCTGTCACATCACAGTTATTAGCAGAATGCCTCATAAGCGCTCCTTGCAGCTCTATCTCGCTAAGCTTAACAAATAATATTTAAAACCCCATAAAATATGGTAAATATAAACCGTGAACCACAGTGCACGGTTTACATTAAACCACATGGCTTATGAAATTTAAACAAAAATAATTCAGCTGAAACGGTAACGCAAGTTCATTCGATTACATATTGTGGACATGTGCAGATAAGAAAAATGAATCATCCACAAAACTTTTAATTATTATCAAAACTGCCTTTTTATTTTCCGTTCAAACCACAATGTTAAGCTTTAGTTAAGATAAAAAAAAGTCATGCAATATAATTTTATCAAATGGCTTTTTGATACTGGCAAAGATTGAGATTTGAGATACTTCAGTGGCCTGATAAAGATCTGGCATGTTACATTCTAATCCCTATGTGTCTACTGGTATAATACGGCATCTCAAATATCTGCAATGCGTCAAACAACTCTGTTCAACTAATTCAGGAGCACTGTGGAGTAGTTTAATTAATTGCCTACACAGTGGCTGGTGAAGCCCGCGACACGCGCCAGTCCCGAGGATATAAATACAGCGGCAATAGAACATTCATTATGTAATTACTAAATTAAAATATCTACACATTATAAAAGTAAAAACGAAATCCACAACTTTCGTGAAAATAGCTTTCCTTCGTTATTACTTTTTAACCGCTGTCGAGATAAATGAGGATTAAATTACATATATTCAATATCGTACGTAGAATCGGAGACTGCTTATTTGTACTTATACGTTTAAATGTGTTTGTAATTTCTATACAAAATACAACTTACAAGGCTAATATAGTTTAGCGATCAAAGCTAATAAATGATTTTGATAATGGATGATCAATTTTGCTAACCAATTTCAATCCTAGGATGGTTGTCACCGACGAAAATAGATTGTTGTAGAACAAATATTAAGCTTAAAATTTGCCATTAATTGTCACCAAGTTTTCAAGCTTCAAAAAAGCTTGTAAAATACAAATA